AAGTCACCAATATGTGCAATACATAGCTAACTTGTTGGCCAATTTTTTAATTAATCAATTACCAAAAAATATGCAAAAGTCAAATTTTCATTTAAAAAGCTTCTAAAAAGCTTCTTCATAAGAAATTATCAAATTTACTTATTTCTACTTGTTTTTAATTAATTATTTTAATTTAAATAAGTATATATTTTTGTGACATTATTCTTCTTTTTAGAAACAAGTTCTACAAAAAGTGATGATTATATATTGAAAAAATTACAAATGAAAATTGTAAATTCCAAATGAATTTTATTTGCCACATAATTTGATCTTTATTTACTTTAAAGGTCATAGATAGGTCTTCTTAATTATCAATAATTTTTCATATCAAGGCATAAAGACTCCTCTAATATTTTATCATTTTTGAAGTCTAAATAATTTTTTTCAGATAAAAAATTTGAAATTCAATCATAGATGTTTTTTATCTCTAATAAAATTATTAAACATTAAGAGTCTCTTTCAAGATCATGGATATTGAAAAAGTTACAAATAAAAGATTACATTCTATCTTCTATCATTGTTTGTGATTTTTGTATATTTGTGGCTTTAAAGAGATGAAGAATAAAAAACAAGTAGATTCTACTAATGAAATGTCATTTGTTGAATTATTAGTCAATACATTTAGATTATTATAGCCTTTAAGACAATGTAATAGAGAGAAAGACCCTCAAGAATATATTCTTCCTCTAATAGATGGTAAAATAAAACATGTTTGATAAGATTTCAACCGTTGGTCCTTAATATTACTAAAGAATTTTTTTTTCTAATTCATTATCTTTTTTGGTGACTATATTCTTTATTTTGGGATTACATTACTTTTTTAAAGAATTTTGAATAATATGCTTAAGTTCTATATAATATAAGAATAATCTTTCTTGTAATATATAATTTTTTTTTATTTTATGAGATGTTTAAAAAGTATTGTATCAATTTACATAAATTCAAGTTTTGATGAATAAATTTTTAAAAACTTACAAATTATCATTATAATTTGATTTAGTTATCTACAATAAAATCTTTGTTCTTAACATCTTTTGAAAATTCAATTATTACATGCAATGACTTGAATAATAAATTATTTCATTAGAAATTTTTTAGCATTATTTATAATAAGTCTTTAAAACTATTTTTAACTCATATCAAAATTGATTGATAAGAACTTTATTATTTCAATCCATAATTCAAGCAAGGTTTTAGAATTTTGCAGTATGTATGATAATTGATTGTGATTATTATTGTAAAAATAAGAATTTTTTTTCTTCTATTATTTTTTTATTTATTTTAAATATAATAAATATAATTTTAATAATTAATTTAGATCATATAAAATTCCATAATTATTTTTCATCAACAATATGAACCAAAAAAGAACACTTTGAGATAGAAATACATCTAAAAATCTAACTTAAATAAATCCATCAGTATATTAAGAAGGATATAACCTTATATAGAACTTGATTTATTATAGAAATCTTTAAAATTTTGATTTTATTCCATCAAAATTCTCCAAAATATTAATTCATGTCTCTTTTATATTTGTAGTAGCAATTATGAGGTTAATCAACTTATTTCTTTCAATTGCACAATTTTTTGGTGTTGTTATGTGATAATACAACTATAAGGTGAAAGATAAAAGAAAAAATTATATTATAGAAGAGCTTAAATAAAAATACTTCAAAAAATTATTATAAAAATATAGATAAGAAACAAGGAGGTAAAAAAAATGTAAAGATGTTATTACTGCCTTCTTGAAGAAGAGACTTCTATTTACTTTATAAAGGCTTAAAAGAGCCAAATAAAAGCAAATAAGATAAATAATTGATATAGATATTTTTAAGATGAGATCAAGAATATTTTTTAGCAAAAATTATCTCAAAACATAAAGAATTGATATCCAAAGAAAACTAGTTGTGAATCAAAGTCAAAATCAAACCTCAAGGTACAGAATAACATCCTTACAGCAACTTCGATATTCTTTAGTTGATTTAAGATTGGAATTTGATAGAAAATTTATGAAAAGATTTTTTAGAATTAATTTTATGTGATTTAAAGGTGTAATAAGGTTTTGAGGGCTTTTCAAATTGAGAGATGAATTTAGTGGATTTGGATTTTGAAAAAAAAAATCAAAAATCAAAAATCAAAAATTTGAAAATTGTGTGAGTTTTATAGTATATTTATAAGTGATTTATTTTTAAATTTTTAATATTATTTATTAGATTGATAGTTATGATATTTTTTATGAATTATGGTCTTGGATAATTGAAATTTAAAATCATTGAGAATTTTTGCAATTTTGTAACATTTTCCTATTTGATTAATGCAAAAATTAGTGAAAGTAATTAAGACTTAAAAATATACATACTATCTAATTTTTGAAGAAATTTAATAGTATAGCAAGGAAAAATTATTACTGGAAGATCAGCATTCAAGTTAGAAAATGAGAGTAGCCAACATCCAAGTGGTTTTAAGATCTTATCTTTCAATTGGTGAGTTTGATTCTTCTCAAATTTTTTGTACTTGTTAATTGCTTATTGATTGAAATGTGAGTGAAATTCTAATTAAGATCAATAGTTTGATTAAGATTTATTGAGATTTTAAAAATAAATTTAAAAAGTGATTAAGATTTATTTAGGTTTTTTTTTAGCTTTGAATTAGGATTTAAAATTTGATTAGAATTTGGTTAGGATTTTATTAGGATTTTATTAAGATTTGGTCTATAATATGTTTAAAATTTAATTAAGATTTAATCATGATTTGATTAGGATTTATTAGAGTTTATTTAGAATTGTTAAAGTTCTATTAAGATTTGATTAAGGCTTTTATTAAGATTTGATTAGGATTTTTCTAAGATTTATTTAAGATTTATTTATAATTTATATTTTTAGTATTTATTTAAGATTATTATAGTTACTTAAGGGATTTTATTTTTGAATTTCTTTAGGATTATTTATTATTAAAAACAAATTATGACTTTTTTATGTTTCTTTAATAATTAGGAAATCTAAAAAAATTTACAAAAGTACCAATCAAAATATATTCGATATTTTGAGAATTATATTTTTTTATTACAGTTTTTTGGATGATATTTAAATTTTGTTGCAGTAAATCAAGAGAATAATTGAAAATATAAATTATAATAAGTAATTTAGGAGTAGTATTACCACTTTTATAACTTCACAAAATAAAATAAGAAGAAAGGCACTTTAGCTACAAAATAGCAATGCCTTTATATTGCTTGCATTGGTTTTTTATTTAATTTTAATTTTAACTAAATTAATTGAGATTTAAGATATTTTTTCTTATATATATATATATATATTTTAAAGTGATTCTACTAAATTTGAAGAATGTTAAGACTAGTAATTCAACATATCAATTAGACTTAAGAATAGAAAAATAGAAACACTTAAAAATCATATAAATTATTATTTAAAAAATACTATATATATATATATATATATATATATATATATTATGGTTTAAAATATTAATATATTATTTTAGATGCACATAATATATTTTCACTAATAGAAAACTTTTATAATCAAAACATAAAATAAATTTATTAGTAATTATAAAAGTTGATAAATAAGTATACTATTTTCCTTTTATACACAATCTGAATTCTATTACTAAATTCTGAATAGCTAGTTATTAAAATGTGTTTTTGATAAATTATATTAAACTTTAAAATTTGAATAATGAAACTGAAGTATAAGTAAAGAGTATTTGTGAAATTAACATTTAATTTTTATTAGATTTGTACTACAACATTCTTAATTAGAATCCATAACATATTGAGTCAAACAAAAACAATATGTTGGTGAAACTTTTATAAGGAACACAAAAGCCAATGATACAATGCCAATATGCAATTCATTGAAAGATACCATACATTGAGAATACAGAGAAGACCAAATCTGCTTCCCCTAAAATCAATTGCTCCATCAATCACTCCTTTCTTGTGCCAAAGTTCAAGCTACACCACATCTTCCCTGTCTAACATCCACAATCATAATAGCAAATATTGAATCCCACATCCAGAAAACAGATATAGAAACAAACAAATACAAATAATTAAAACACATGAGGAGCAATCACATCCATACAGCACAGTTTGCATCCCACTCAGCAAAAGGGTGCAAGATGGGTGCCCATCAGAGGGCAAAGCCAACCCAGAGGGTAATAAAGGCACCATCTTTCATTACACGAAAACCCTGATGTGCTTGGTGGTGACCTGGTGCCAAGTTTGCACACAAATCCAGGCATGGGAGATGGAGCCAAGGAATCCCTCCATTATCAACAACACAATAATCTCATGTGAAGGAAGGGAAGGAAGATGGAAGGAATTCTTTTTGGGATGTGGAAGCTCTTGCTCATGTTGACCAAAGTGGACCCAGAATGAGCTAAAATAGTAGAAAAAGCAGTCTCAGTGAGATGACTTTTAGCACACATGCTTTGACTCTGCCCAGATCCAGCATTAAGTGTGGGACTGTGTGGGGTGAGGCCAAGGCAAGCCAAGGTGCCATTGGGAAGCTGTAAACCTCTGCTTCCAAAGTTGGATAAAAGCATTGACTTGCATTAACAAGCTTCTTTTCCCAGCTGGGTTGTTTCCTATCATTAATCTTGTAGGTGATATCCATCAAGTTGTTGACCTCATGCGACTTTAATGATTTCTGCTGTGAAGGTGAGATGGTGGTGGTGGTGGTGGTTGTGCATTGGGAGAGGAGCAATGGAGACCCTGAGGATGGAATGTCTGGTGAGGATTTCAGATGAGAGGACTTGCAATTTTCAAGCCTGGTAGCCATGCTGGATGCTCTTGGAGTGCCTGTTTCTGGGCCCACATTTTTATGGAAATCCTGGCTTCCTGGGGATTATTATGGTGGACCCTTTTTGACCCACCTTGACCCACAGGGGCTTGTCCAGGTCCAGGACCTTTCCCTGTCTTACCTGTGGAATGATGCATCCTGACCACCAGCTAGGAGCACTTTGTCATAATACTATCACCACTGCTCACTCACATGCCCTCCTCACCATAGCCCCCATTCTGTAGCTCTTCCCAATCTTGCATTACTTGTTGTTCAGCTCTTCTTCTTTTTCTTCGACTGCTAAACACTATGGAGTGGCCACGAAGAAGGGTGGAGCTAGCTTCAGGAGTGTTGTTTTGACGAGATTCTGTGCATGAAGGTGTTTGGAGTTTCATGGGAGCATTGTTGGTAGCAGTAGTGTGTCTCTGGTGATTCGTGCACTGGATTTCGAAGGTGTGTGATGATTTACCCTTTTCTTTTTAGTTTTTCTAGTTCTTTCCCACCCCCTATGTTGATGAGCACGCTGGTACAGTGTCTGCTTAATAGTTTATGCTGGATTACAGTCTGTTTTAATGTTACTCATACTGAATGCGACTTTCGAGTAATCCCTCTGGCAGCAGCAATGAGGTTAGGGCTCCAATGTTGTGGATCAGATTAGTTCTCAGTTAGTTTTGAAGTTTTGCAGTTTTTCGTCTCATGTTCCTCAACTTGGCGTTTCTCGTGCACAGAGGTCCTTGCAATGTCTGGAATTCTTAGAGTGCGATTGCAAGGTTAGCATCCTGGGCAGATTTTAGGTTATAAGATTGATCGCCGGTGTAATTTGCAAGAGGTTCCTGTTTGTGACATTATTTAGTCGTAGACCATTGGACTCAAGATAATTCGTTGTGGGTTGACACCTTTCTCGCCTCACGCTACCAAGGATATGAACGAGTTCCTCGAGAGGAACCTTATTTAGTTCTTATGCTTCTTCTTTTCCTTTATCGCCACACCTTTATTTCCTGTTGAAAACACTAGAGTCCTGCAATGCTCACACACACTCCCCTGCTAGCAGGATCAATGCCATTGTTCGCTGGAAAGTCGAAGTATATATGGTCCAGATCTTAGATCATGGTGCGTGTCCTTCTTATGACCTCATCGACCTTTGGATTCGAGCCTTTCCAGAGGATTCATCGTTCTAGAGGTAGTTGAGCATGTCGGTTAAACCCCGTAGTTGATGACTGTCAAGGTGATATGGAGGATATTGTATGCTTGAGGTTATTGGAGGAGTGCCTCTCTTGATAGGCTCAAGGATTGCATTAAATAGTGTCAAATTTCTAACCAGACAATGCTTTTTAACAGGCGACACTGCAGTCTTGATTGGGAAAGTGACATCTTCCCATGAACTTCCCCATGCCAAATCAAAATGCGTCGAGATGAAAATCTGAGGGGAGGAATAGTTGCAAATCTGGTTTTGACGTTGCTGTGTCTAGGGTTTAGTCAAGCCACTGTTGTGTTGCGAGGTGGCGGTTTGGCGTACCTCGACAAGGTGCCCTTAAACGCCCAACCACTGTATGTGGTGAGAGTATCCTTGGCGGAAGGTGATGGCACAACTGATGGACATGACAGAAAATTAAGCGGTGGAGCAGTGGCTGGGATTGTCGTGGGTTCCATTTTTGGAATAGCCTCTGCTGCCTCTCTCATCTGTTGCCTAAGCAGAACAAAATGCAGTTCTTCTAATGAAGAGAAGCCTGGGACCACTTCAGGTACAGATCCCCATCTTAACTCTTCAGGGTTGCAAAGTGTATGTAGGTAGATTGCTGTGGATGAGTATTAGATAATACACATTAGATGAGCAAGTTCTTTATGTGATTTTTTTATCTTTTTATGTCATCTGGTTATTTCTGTCTACTTCCTCTTCGATTTACCCATCTGCGACTCTCACCCTAAGAGCATGTGGTAGTTCAGAAAAGTATTATGCCGGTGTCAATTGTCCAGCCTTTGAACTGCATGTAAGCTTTGTCGGAGTGTCAACAATTGAGAGTAAATCAAAGGAGGAATTTCATTTCGAGGAATTGAACGTACCTAGTGTATCAACAGTCAATTGGCCTTCTGACTCATGTACCTGGTTGCTGCGTATCAGAATCAAAAACAAAAAAGTCGAGCAGGTGGAGCTTCTTTCGCAAGTCAAAAATTCCTTCGCGAGGAAAGGCAGTTCCACCGCCCAAACTCGGGACTGACAAACCAGACCCTGACGATAACTTAGACACTTCGTTTGTCTTACCTGAGCTAGGAGGCCCTAATCCTCACAATAAGTTCGATGGTATGGAGTGGATCGACATAAAGGGCCTTGATGATGAGACGCTTATTGACATCAGTACAGATCTTCGCAAGTACCAACAACGGAGATAAGTATCAGTCGTCATCTCATGACTTCCCCATCTTAGAGTTGGTGCTTCTAATGGCAGGAGTGAATCGTGAATTCATGACCTCCACACAAAAAGCAGTCATCTGTGCTGGTTCGACTGTAAATCATTAGTTATCAGCCTTCCAAGAACATTATACAACACCTCGTGAAAATGCCGTGTCTTTATTTTTAGTTTTGAAACTACTGTACACTGCTGTATGTGTTGTACTCCTGGATTCACGTTCATTTAGGTGACACTTATTGCCATCCTGTGGTTCCTTGGATCATCCTCAAGCAATGTATTCCGATTTGAAGGTGCAGACCATCAAAATAGTTCTCCAATACTGCATCGATTTATTTGCAGCGAGTTGAAGATTTGCCGGACCCCCGCAGTGATGCGTGTGCTTCGACGTCCCTTTTCTTCACTTCACGTCAATTTGCTTCTGTGAAGTTAAGCCGTGTTTTAAACCTCAATTCCCAAGAGTCCTGAAGTCACAATGTTTGGTCAATGTTGTGTGAGATTTCGAACTCTGGAATGAGTTACTCATAGTAACTCTAGCACTATCGTACAACACTTCTTCAGGAACACTTTTAAGTACTATACCACAGTTATATTCTTGTATACTAAACTGGTAACAAACATATGGACATAAAATAGTCTTGAAATGGGGAAAGCATTTAAACTTTCTCCAATGTTTGTAAGTTTCTACTTATTAATCTAGCCTTCTAAGATGCCCAGAGTACTGAATTTCCACTTATTGAGTGAATTATGAATTAATTTTGTAATCCTTGTCTTTCATTTAAATTACTAGGATAAATTTGTACAGTCCAAATTATGTTGTTGGAACACAACGCTAACTGAAACAATATTTTGCACAGACTTTGAAACTGATCTAAAATAAGACCTTACTCAAACATTATTAGGTGAAATTTATCATATTGTTTTGGATTGATAACTTAGATGGCAAGACAACCTTGCATGTTTGGTAATTTCAAATTATTTTTGTTTTTATTTTAAAGGAAAACTATCAAAGTATCCCTCAAATATGTTAAAATATCAAAAATATCCATTTGTGCTTGATAATAGCAAATATATCCCTTGGATTTGTAATAATAGTAAATGTACCCTTGTTGATGATAAGATATCACCAACATTCTTTGTTTAGTTAACAAAGATGACACCACACAAGGGTGATGAATTGTCCAAATTAGATTTTTGGATGAAAGTTCAAGGTTGTTTGTATCTTTTGTCCTAGATTGTTTCAACAAAGTAGAAATTAATATTGTAGAGACTGCTGCTCTTTTAGATAAATGTTTTTGGGCTTTCATTTGGAAGTTTTTCTTATGGCATTGCCAATCCACAAGCTCTATTTTCTCAACTGCTTTTGAAAATCATTGTGTAGCTATACTAGGCTCAATGGCACTAAACATCTTGGATTTATGGCTTGTTATTGAACAAGTACTTATATAATTTGAAGAGCACATTTCATCTCCTTTAAAGAAAAGATCTACTCCACCATTGATCCTAAAATGGGTCTTCTATTTGCAAGCATGCTCAAATACTAATGTTCTCAAGAAAAAATAGGTATTGAGTTAGTGCACTTTACATACTTTCACAACAACAAGCATTTGCCTATGGCATTTTATAACTTTTACTATGTCAATCTCATGGCCAATTAAGACTTGCTACATACAGATTCTAAGATTGCTTGGAACTCACAAACAAAGTTATTTATAATAGTGTATGCCAAGGACAATACTTTGTAGTACAAGAATTTTGCAATGGCATTTACTAAGTTGAGTGAACATAATTCTCTGATAGTTATTCAAGGAGAGGTCTGAAAATACCAAAAAGCCAAAAAGAGGCAGTTGCAAAATTTGAAGGATATATTTGCTATTATCAAGAATATATAGGTATTCTTGATATTTCAACATATTTGAGGGATGTATATGATATTTTTCCTTTTTAAAACGTGAATAGAATGAATTTATTGCCGTCAATTAACCAAGGTTGGAAACATGAGTTACCAACATTTTAACATGTAAAAGTAGGAGTATTCATATATATATATATATATATATATATTGATGTATGTATAATTATTATATAAGAGCTGCAGGATTGTTAACTACAATCATGTGGAATGAAATTCTCAAATTTTATTTGATTGTACTTTTTCTGTTGTTGTATGCCCTAGAGTTTTCTTAGACATCTAGATCTAATTCTATTCATAGAAAAATTTCACATTATTTATTGTTGTTTTATTTATTATTTATTATTATTTTCATTAAACAGTTTTACTATCTTTTCCAAATTATTTTCTTCACATGTATGTCACTCCACATAATACCATCAAAAGATTTAGAATTACATTACATCCACATGTGATATATGCATGGGTTGATTATCATTGTAAGATGGAATTAAATCTCTTCAAGGGTACCTTGTACTACAAAAATAGCTTGGATTTAAAACTAAAATTAAAAAATTAAAACTTCAAACTTCAAACATTTCCTAAATACAACGATCTTCTATTGTGTTCTGTATAAATGAATTTGTCTTGTTGAAGATTTCTGCTGCATATTTTACTCTTAGATCTATGTAGTAAAATTATAAAAGTCAACACAAATTAATATGATAAATATATTTTCAAAATATTAAATCTTATATATATATATATATATATATGTGTGTGTCTTTAAATAAATTTTATTTTTGTAAAATTAACCATAAAGTTCATTTTTTAAGTTAAAATAAATATATGAATGTGTTTCTGTAAAATCCATATTTTGGATAATATATACATATTTTATTATATTTTAAAATTTACTTATAAAATATAAAATAATTATTTTTTTAATTGAATCACAAATTTTTTAATATCAACATGTAATATTAAAAATAGTATAAAAATATTAAATAAAATAAAATAAATTCGACTATGATTAAAATAACAAAATTAATTGACTCATATCATCAAAATAAAAGAAAACAAAGATAATTTTTTAATATATATAGACATATCTCTTTTACTTTTTTCTTTTTTTGGAGATGGTTCTTAATTAGCAATAAAATATCATATACCAAATATTCTTCAAACTCCAAAAAATATAAGAATCCATTTTTTAAAACTTGATAGACCAAGAGAATTGCTTTTGTGTCTACATCTTTCAACAAATTTAAATAGGTTTATTGAAGTAGAATTTGTGAGAATATTTTCGACTTGTATTACATTGGCTTGATTTACACCATAATTAGGCGTTCATTCTAAAGATAATGAAAAAATTAAAATAAAAAATAAATCAAAATTGAGATAGAATTTAAAAGGAGTTATAGGAAGACAGTTGCAAAAAACAAATTGAACTGACAATTTTGTCTATATTTTTTTTATTTTGTTGCATGATTTTGGTTTTAAATTAGTTTGATATAAAATTTATTGGAATCAGAATTTTATTTTTATCTAATCACAAGGATAACATAAAAGGTCTATTTCTACAATATTAAGAATTTATACTTTCGGTAAATTTATTCTACAATCAATTTTATATGATGACTGAACATGTGTAAGTAAAATATAGAATCCATTTTTAATAAAGCAGTCTGAATTATTTTACTACATCAAAAAAAATTAGTACTACAAACAATGACTTGCAGAAATTTATACAACTAAATGCAAATTGATGTATATTAATTTTAAAGTTTAACCTAAAATAACACACCAAAAATAATTGATTAAGCTATGTATTATGGTGAATGAAACCATATTATTCTAAAAAAGAAAAAAAGAAAAAAAGAAGTCTTCTATTACAATGTTAAAGTACAAGAAAATCTGATAAAAAATAGCAATGTTTAATTATGATATAAACGATGCAATTTGATACTGCTAACTATTTATAAAAGTAGAACTCTGTCTACTTTTTAATCATTTCGTTTTGCAATTTTATAAGGAGAAAGTAAAATTTAGATAAATTATTTTTAAAAGTCCTCTTAGATAATTGAATAAATTTTATTAATAGTATTTTTATTTCAAATAAATATAAAATAAAACAAAAACAAGCAAATGAACAAACAAACAAATAAAATTATTTTTTTAAGAAATGTGTTTATAATACTTATTACAACATTAGAGTATTTTATTCCTTGCTACTTATTAAATTTAATAAGTAGCAAGGAACAAAAAACTAATTCTGTAACAAAAATAATAAAAGATATTTTTTTGATATCTTCAATGAAGCTTTAGTAGACAATAATCTAATTATAAACATACTACATCACTAAAATGGAGTTATTGGATTTACTTTTATTGAATATTGTCTAAAACTTTTATCTTTATTTGAATTTGAGATCAACAAATCTCGTATTTTATTTGATGATATAGATTTATTTTTTATTATATTATTTTTGTCACAGAATTAGTATTTGTTTTAAAGACTACTCAATGTCATCTAAGCAGGCAATTTAATAGCTCAAAGGCTTTTTAAGCTTTTTAGATTCTACATTGCTTTTGAATAAAATTTTGTATTTTGTATTTAAAAGGTACAAGTCTTATTATAATATGATAATATAATAACATATATATATATATATATATATATATATATCTTTTTCATTGCCTCTTGTTTATTTTCTATTAAAAAATTATTCTTGTTAAATGTTTTTAGTGAAAAGTAATGATATATGTACTTCTAGAATTATTTTCAGGATCTATTTAAAAGTTTTTAAATATATATATATATATATATATATATTTCTCTCTCTCCTACAAACCAGTCAATAATTATGTGACTAGCCAATAACTCCATTTTAGCTCTAACAATATCATTATCTATTACTACTTCTTATAGAAATTATTTTATAAGAAAAACTAAATAAATATGTGAAAACATTTTAGAAAGAGATTTAGTAGATAGAGTTTAGCTGTAGAAAAATAATCAACTTCTTTAATGTCTTTATGATTTTAAAATTTTAAATATTATTGAAAATATGAGTTATTTTAAATAATACAAAATTATTAGCTACACCTTATTTATTCTTAAAAGTAAGTAGAACCAATAAAACTATAATTTAAAATATTTTTTTCAAAAAGATCATAAAACTACATTATAACAAAAGAATTCAACATGATTATATTTTTTTACTAATATTTCCGTACTATCAATTTATTTGCTTCTATACCACATATATACTTGTTAATTTTTATTTTTCTATGCATATTTTAATTCTAACTCTTCACAAATTTATTTATTTTTAATTTTTAGTTTTTAGAACATCTTCTTTAACTATATTAAATATTTACTTAAAATAAATAATTAACACATAGCTCTTTTTGATCATAAAAATCTCTTAATTAAATAGAAACCTAATTATATAGATTTTTATTTATCTATAAGTTATTCTACTAATTTAGCAATTTTTCTCTCATATTTATAGCATAATATTTAACTTATTAAATTAGACTATTGTAATTTTTTTTAGTTTAGAATTTTGTTATTATATCTCCTAATTAATATAATCTAGTTCTAATTCTATGATTTGGCAAGCACTTTTGTGCCACAAAATTTAAACTATCTTTTTTTGTTCCAATATAATGTATCAATTCCATCTTCAATTATTTCTTTTTATTTTATTTTTATCTATATTTTTAATATTATTTTTAATTAATTATATTATTATAAGAAGCTTTCAATTACAATCATACTTTATACATAATGTTTTTAAAATAATGCTAGATCCAACTTATGATGCTTGAATTTATTACTATCATAATTCTATCATTTTATTTTTATTTTTTTTCTACTTATTTCTTTCTTTTAAAAAAAAATCTTATGTTTATTTCAATTCTTTTGACTATTTTTTTTATAATTTTTTCTTTATATATATATTTAAAAAAACTTATTTCTTAATATGCTCATTGATTACATATATCTTTTTTCATAATTATAGTCTACTTATTTTTGCATCTTTGCATTTAATTTTTTTGCTTTTGCACCTTTAATTAATTTATATATATTATCTTTTTTAACTTTGTATTAATATTTATTTATTAAAATACATACTAATACATATAATATAAATGTAATCATACTTTTGGTTTTTTGCCAATTCTTCCATTTTTTAACAAGTTATATTCAATAGTCATCTCTACTTATCATAATTATACCAACTATTATAATCAATGTAGATTAAAAAATAGTATAGATTTGTGAGTAGTGTAATCCACATTAATTCATGTTTAGCTAGATCAATTGGTTGTAGTGTGTATTAAGCAACTATCTTTGCAACTATTGATACTAAGTTAAATATAGTATATTTGATTTCAATAATATACTCTTTGTCTATACTATTTGGAAATATTTGTTATAGCATGGCTTCTACTAATTACTATAGTTGATGTAATGAATGTGACCACCACTTATTGCATTATTTACATACTTATTATTGAAATATTTGTATACAATCTTTTGTGGTATTTTTAATCGTATTTCTTTTTTTTATTAATTTATATATTTTAAAAATATATAATTATTCAATTAAATATTCACATCTATAATTATATCCTAAAAAATATTTAATACTACCAATAATTATCCAATATCCATATTTTTACTTTTTTCAATTATTATCATGGACATATATATTTATTCCAATAATTATCTACATAATTGGATAAAAGTAGATTAATTTCATAATATCTTCTAAAAAAGATTCTTAGAAGCTTTAAAGATGTAATTTTGACTTTATACATATTTTTAGTTGATAAATAGATTAGAAACTTGATCAACAACTTAACAACATATCACATGTGTTGGTAGCTTGTGGAGCAAGTTAATTATATGGTGTACATATAAGAAAGTTGCCTTACAAGTTAAGATACGTGTCTTGCAAATCCAACACGTACTAGATGTCTTGTAGAACATTGCTATGTAGCTCTTAGTTAGATAGTATATATAGAGGCAAGAGTGAAGCCTTCTTGTCAATGCTTTTTTGGTCTTTAGTTTTGTTTCAAGACTTTTCAGTCTTCTTGTCTTTGGCAATAGTCATTCTAGTTTAATACTATATCATCTTTGACTGATTTTTTAGTCTTTTTGAATGATACAAGAGTGTATTGACCTTTTACTTCTTTGAGGTTCATATCTTTGATAATTACACATATGAACAACCTCTACATGCTTTAATATACACACAATATATTCTATTTTTTTAAAGAAGTCTTTGTTTAAAATTTTAAAAGTTATGTTATTTTTTAAAAATCTTCATATATTTTAAATCTATATATAACTTAATTGTAACTTTTAGATTATAAATCTCTATATTTAAATATATAATTGATATTTTTATTAAATATTTTAAAATTTTAAAAATAACACCTCAGTGAAGATATTTTAAAATATTTTATTTTCAATACATTTGTTAAGAATAATTTTACACTACAACATCTAAATTAGTTTTTTTAGATTACTTTTTACATAATTTTTCTCTAATTAATTTTATTTAATTTTTATTTTATATTACTTATTTCTAAGTTAATTTATTTATATGTCTTTTTATACATTTTTATTTTACAAAAGAATATTATTTTTGCAACTAACTTACATTATATTCAATAGTTTAAAGATTATCTTTGAATTTTATTTTTAAATAATATTACTTAATATCTTTAACATATAACCTTTTCTTAACTTCTTACATAAAAAAAATTCTTTATAATATGATAATATCTTACTATTTGATTTTATATACCACCAAAATGTATGTTTCTATTATTCTTTTCTTTGGTGATGAAATACCTACACTTTTGCTTTGACATGCACACATAATATTTATATAAAATGTATTCATCAACTAAATTCTAATAAAAAAATTATACTTAAATCATTGTTTATTCCTTAACTAATAATGATAATATTGTTGATCTCATATTTACATTATTATTATTATTATCCTTTATCCTCAACTTGTCTTTTATACTTCTAAGCTACTATCTATCATTATTTATTTAGTCAATGCACCTCCAAAATCAGGACATTGATAGAAAAACTACCTAGTTGGTACCTTGAAAATTTCACTTCTTCTTTACACATAAATATAATGAATCTACAACACTAGCCTTAGTTTTGTCCATGATTAGATAACAGACACTAAACATGGCAAAACTAAAACTAATATTAATAATATGAAGTTAAATGTTGAAGTTTATAATTAAGAAGGTCGGTGCCAATGGCAATAGATTTTGATGGCATAAAGAAAGTATAAGGATTGATTTGGACTATTTGCACAAGTGACCATTTATATTGATATTATGTTTTGACCCTCATACTACCTAATTGTTTCTTCCTAACTTATTCCCTTAACCCTACTTAGCTCTAACTAAGATTTTTTTAACATCTACTTCTATTGGCTCTCAGTGGGAGAGTGCCAACAAAACATGCATATAAAACATTTGTTAAAATTACCCAAAATCTATCAACGTATAAAAATAATATTAATAATAATAATAAGAAAAGAAAAAAAGTGGCCCAAAATCAGGGCTTCACCATACTCCTCTGCCATCCCTCATTTATCTCAAGTGTTGATAATCAAAGCGAAGGCTGCACAAATCGTCAGCCCATGTCATTCACAAAATAAAATCAAACAGAAGGAAAAGAATACGACAACACTCTGGATCCACGTTCGGTGTTAAAGAAGTCACGCTTGTAATCGCAATCCCCAAGACAGTTTTATAATACAGAATATATTAAATCTGACCGAGAAGATACGGAGTATCTGGTAAGATGGTAACAGCGACTTTAGCTTCCATTATAACGAAGCGAAGGATATCACATGCGTCAACACTTCGGAACATCGAGATGATCTGACTCTCACTGAGTGTAAAATTGTAACAAGGAACAAAGATTCGCTTCATTCCGAAAAAAAATAAAAAAATAAAAAACATTCCATCAAATGTACTATTATCATAGGAGTAAGAGGCACTGTCCTAGTTTAACAAGGAGATTAGCTTCATGGAAATTCCAGAGGAATTACACACCCTTCACCCCTCACATTCGACAATTTCCTGCAGGGGCATGCTACCTTCTCACCATTCACGAAACACAGCCGAACCTACGTTATTACAATCGGCGCCTCTTCCATACTTCGAGATCGATTCCGTTGCCTCGGTACCAGTTGAGTCTTGTTGATAGCATGCCTCTCTGTGAATTGGGTCAGCCTGGTCGTGATTGGCTGCAATCTGGAGAAGAAGAATCCAGCTGATCGAAAAACCTTTGTTTGCATGTGGCTCTGGATGAAGCGGTGATCCTAAAGCACCGACACAGCACCCCTACGCTTGCGTGCTCTCGCTAGAACGAAACCGTTGACAGAATCATGCATTATTTGCCATGTTTTCTTCCACATTTGTATACTGCATGTTTAAAACAGGATCGGAGAGAAGCCATTCTTGCAAGTTGGACCAAAGAGAGAAGAATCGAAATGGTTTTGCATGGGAGAATACTGTTGCTTTATAGTTAAAGACTTCTAATCCACATTTGTTCACTGCATAGTTTACTCAGATTTGTGTTGCACGTCTTGTAGTTTAGTACATATAAGTCACATATGTTTACTGTATAGTTTTCTCAGTCTTGCGTTGCACGTCGTATCTTATACTTCTCTCAATGCAAGTTGAGCAATGCTTTGGAGCTCTTTTGCTAGGTTCACTCCAGTTTAAGAGTTCAGGGTTTGCTTGGATGTTGTTGAATAAAATGCGAAGTTGGATCCTCATGGGGTTGGACCTCCTGGCATGCTTCCTTTCCCCACTTTGTGATATCTTATAACTGAAGGTCCAAATGAAATCAGAGCATGACTCATACGGTTGTCGTTTCATGTGTGTTCAAATTCTGGGCTTTTTTAACTTCGATTTTCATTTCAAGAAGTTGTGTTTTATAGATATTTTTATGACATTCTCTTTTAAAATATGAGGGAGAAAATATAAATATTTGTGTATGGTATATATATATATATCAAAGTTATTAAGCCTCAACAGAAGTGTCTGCTTACTTGACCTGATCAGATCAATTTGGTCAACATTGTCCTTACTAATTAAACTTGGTCAACATTGTGAAACGCCATCAAAAATGTTGGAATAACCCAAACATTCATAGTTTCATAAATGTGGACCATTCCTATGTTGCCAACAAATCCACCAGGAGTTCATCAAAATGTCTACAGATGAGAACTCATTTTTCTTGCAAGCCCCAAAATATATCAAGCAAAACATGGATCATACAAACAAGAAATACATGACAGTGAGGATATACATTCAAGGTAGAGGTCAATAAACAGAAATGTGAGCAGACGTAAGAAATGAGGGGTGTAATCAAAGGCTCTAGAAACCATGAATTAACTTAGGAACTCAACGACTGCACCGAAAACAGCTAGTGAGCAAGGCTGCCAACGTCAGACCTCGCTCTCCTTTGAATCTCTTCTATTGATATCTACAACGGTGATAAGAAACACTTGTCTAGAATTGATGCTTTAAGAACACTTCCTAAGGTCGCAACTTCCACGACAGGTTGGGGAGTGTGTTTCGCGATCATAGAGTATACTCTTACGCACTGAAATATTTACACGTTGCCTCTTACGCAAGTCCAGGTGTACATGGGGATTGGGTGTTCAGCGATAAAGCTAATGTCTCCTCACATGTGAATTCTTATTCCGCGAGAGTGAAATTCCTGGGAGAACGGAAAAACTTGAGATGGCTTACAGTCTGCAGTTGCAGTAATTTTCACGTGCACCATCCGATAGGTGTGCACCTTCGGGTGAATCCCACAGAGATTAGCTTGAAATAGAAAAGTTCATAGTTTCCATTTATCAAGACAGTCTCACCATGCAAGCGGAATGTTCTTGATCCGTTTCACGATGAAACTCGAATTGCCGCTTGTAGCCATTTCAAGCTTTTACTAAACTCTCGCTGTTGAGATAGAGCCCATCTCGTCGACAATCTCCCCGATCATTTTCTTCAGCAGCATGCGTTCAATATCAAGCCCAACTTCAGCGACTTCGTGGCTAAAAACCACCCATCGGCCTTCAGGAACATTCATGTCATAATCTATCAGATCATCCAGCACGTTTCCAGCAATCTCTCTCCAGTGGCAGATCATTCTATGTACTTCCTTCACAAGGGACTCTCCTGAGAGTGGCATTTGAAATTTCGAGTTTGAACACATGTCAGGGAACATGGGCAGATCGACATAGAAGGAAGAGGTCTTCATCCATGGTTCGAGAGCCATAACCTCATTCACACAATCGAAGAGAAGCTTCCGCTCCGACCTTTCACTTAAATCCTGTCTTGGTGCATCTGGAGGGGTGAGCCATTGCTTAAACTCCATTAGATCCCGCTTGTTCAGCCTGTCGAACAAGGATATGTTCATGGGAGGATTTGCCAAGGACAACGGGGTTTCCTCTTCTATGAGTAGATTTGCTGCATCCAAGACCTCTCTGATGTAGGCTTGCTCCTGTTGCGGTCCTACATGAGTAATCGGTGGCTTGAACTCAACACTTGAAAGCTCAACATTTCGAAAACTAGAAACGTAAAAAGTATCTTGTTTGATATGGTCTGTGTATATCGTCTCTGGTATAGTCACCATCGAAACTTTTGAGACGAGCAAATTTTCTTTGGCTTGATCTGTGAGGTCGTCGTCGCTAGAAGGTGGAGAAGGCGCCTTATTGCCAATGTCAATAAGATCTTTGTCCGTCTGCTCGGATTCTGCATCGTAAGGGACCATTGATACAATTAGCAAGTCGGTGAAAACAATTCCATGCATAACATGTCGTTCTAACCAGATTCTCATGTCAAAAGAAAACTTTCAAAATGATTGTAAATTTAGAGCATCGCACTACTGTCGCAGTTTTTTAGGAACACATGATGTCAAAGGTTGAGTAAGATAACAGAAAGCCACATTGCAACGAGGATTCCGCAACTAACCTGCAGAAATGGCATCTGGCATGGTGGAAACCTCGTCAAGAAATGGGGAAACAAGGACAGATACTGGACTAGGTTGCTCGGATTCTTCAGCAGCAGAAGTGTGACCGTCGTTTGAATCCGAGAAGCCTTGTGCCAGCTGTTCTTCAAACTTCTTCAAAGCTGGTGGTGTCGTCACAACCTCACTCCACCCAGCAGCTACTGACATCGTTTGAATCTGCACAAATGACATGAGCTCATCCTAAGCCAAAAGCGAATAAATGGGACCATAGCAACATTCGCCTATCCCAGACGTTTTCACACCAAAAAGTTTAAATGAATCACTGCTCAAAAAATGAGCTATACAGAACCACAAGGCTTACCTCAACACGCTCAGGTGAGCAGCTATTATCACAAATATCGCTGTTGCATATATCCAATTCGACCCCAGCTTCCTTCACATCTAAGACAAGCTCTCGAAGTTCTGCCGAACAGAAGCTTCTTCGTTGCCCTGTCGGATCAGTTGTATTGTCCCCAGAAGCTGCCTCTAACATATCCTGCAGGTTGAGACGATTCCATGAAGAGAAGTAACTTTTCTCGTACTTCACCAAGGGACTGTTTGGAAAAGTCCCAGGAATTGATCTGCATCCGGTGATGTAGACTTCTGGACTTGTGGGGCTCGTCTCAGGGGCTAGATTTTCCAGGGGAGACGAGTCAGACCTTGTAGGTGACTCATGCACACAGGTCCTTGAATTTTTTTTTCCAAACATGCGCTCAATGGATCGGCAGTCAAGAGGCGTTGTTTCACCATGAGACCTGAATTCCATGAACTGCTCCTCTACAGCTTGAATGGTCTTCCTAAGGTCTGGAGATGCCCCGCCTTCGTCAATTTCTTCCAGTGGGAGCTCAGGGAAAACATCATCAACACACTTGTACCTCCCTTGCACTAAAGATGCAGCATTTGGTTTCTCCAATACTTTGCTTAATGGCGATAATGGCTCCTTCGATACAAGCTTCACCAAAAACGAATCTTGGTTAGCCGCACCTTTTACACTTTCCACGTTCACCACATTCACTTCTACATTAACCTTCTTGCTGGATTTTGAAGTCTTAAGCACATTTTGAGAATCAGGTTCGTTAGTTGGCACAGGGGTTGTACCAATCATACCACTTGGTCTTCTCAACAGAGACCGCATCAAAGTGCCGTCTTTGCGCTTCAGTGCAATAGATTCGCTTTTGTCCTTGCCTACCTTTTTATCTCCTTGCTTTCTTCTGCTAAAAAACATGGCGTTGCTGGATCCAGCACCAGCAACCGTAGACTCCTTTGCAAACGGTAATTCAACTGACTGATGCTCTGAGTCCTTTTCAGAGGGAAATACACGCCTCGCCTGACCTCCAGCCTCTTTCGCCTGCTTTTCACCTCTGCCTCGAAAACGGATCGGCCGAAAATGGCGATTTGTAATGAGCTTTTCAGTTACAGTCGCAGACGAGCGGAGTAATCCTTGGCTAATAGCAGCTTTGCTTTCGGAGTTTTGGTCATGAGTACAAGGTTGCGGAGATCCCACTTCAATATGGGTACCCACATATCCGGGTAGCATAGGTGGAATGTTCACAGGAGGAGAATCTAACACTGCAGATTTCGAATAATGCTCTTGTTTTCCCAGCTTCTTCTTGTGATGAATTGCACTCTGATTTCCCAAGTCAGTTTTAAACCCACGAATTGAAGCCTCGTGAGTACCTAACACAGCTTGGGGAGGAGGAGGGCTGGCTTCCATCTTCACCAAATCCGAACTCCTAGATCTATGGGTTTGCAGGGGAGATCCCGATCTGGATGAGGCCACCAATGTCGTCTGAAATCGCTTTCGACTGGATCGATCTTGTCTACTTGAGGCAGAGCGGGTACTGAAATTCCAACTCGCAGGAGAACTTGATTCGTGGCCACTATGTTCGGCCCGGTCATCCCCACCACTCCAAGTCGTCCGAACCGATGGACTTCTGAAAGACCTACTTGAGGAGTTACTGTAGCTGGAAGTGAAGCTCCTCTTGTCCGACCGGAAGCTTCCATCAATGTCACATTGTGCATCTCGGTGAGCCTCTCTGACAAGTGCGAATCTGTTCTTGGGGGAAGGGTGCATGCTCGTCTCCAGGGCTTTCACTGCTGACTCTAGAAGTCTTATTGTGTTTTTTTCACTGAGCATTGACGGTGATAGGAGAGGAGTAGAGCCAGTCTGTGAGTTCGTGTGTTGAGGCGTGAAACTACTTTCTTGCATTCGAGCTTGAAAGGGCTGCTTCATGAAGGGCGTAGAGACATCATACTGTGTGAATGATGCTTTCCTTTCATTAAGTCGTGCTGATCTCGCAGCTCTTGAATCGCCATTTTGGTGCAAGTGCTCCCTGAAACGGCCAGTAGATCTCTTCCTTTGAGGTACAACACCTCGTGTGGGTTTCGACTCTCCTAATCTCTTGGTGAATCCAGGAAGTTTATCCTTAAAAGACTGCTTGGAGCATTGACGGAATTCTTGACGAAGAAGCTCCTGCAACAGTACAGGTGGAGAATGTAGTTGCTCATGTGCCGTCATGTCAGTCACGTCGTTATTAAAGTCCGATGATACGAATTTTCCCGAGAAGAATGTCTTGTCCGGTAATTCTTCTAGGCCCATAAGTCTTGCTACCACGCCAGGAACTCGTTTGCTTGTGTCAACTGACTGGTCAGAGCTAGGACTTCGTGTGGAGTTAAATGTTGGCAGAATTTGTAAGGTAGCAATAGACTTTTCTTTCCCCGAGGCTATCTGCAAACGCAAGGTGGAAACAGTATCAAAATTGGCCTCAAAACTCACATGTGACGTTACATGCTCACGATCCCAAGGGATTATCACAGGTTCTGTGCAAAGTGTTGACAATGATATAGTTTTGACTGTATGAATTGAATATCATCAATCTCTACGAGGCATAAGATGAAGATCATTTGCATGTCTCATGACAAATATCACCTACCGATGGAGGCTTCAAGGTACGGGCATAAGTGCGCTCTGAGGTGCTCTGATCCTCTCTGACATATTGTGCGCCTTGGTTTGGCCTTTCTGTTACCATTATCATTTTCAGAAAAACGATTTCCAGGATACTCAGTAACATGAATGTGCCTCACATACGAAAGCTTTAACATAATATTTCGTCAATGAACATTCAATTCGTATACCACAAGGCTTAAAACGCGGAATTTCACCAATTAAACACATTGATGGGAGGGGGGTGACAAACAAACATACAGAAACAGAACAGAACAGAATAAATCAGAATAAAAAAAAAGTAATGAAGCATTCACCACACAAGAAGCTCTTCAGACCCTTATTACACACTCGGAAGTGGATGTGCATGGCAGCAAGAGTTGCTCCAAAGTTGAAAAATATTTCATAAACGACTGGTCTCTCACAATCCCTATATTACATTTTGTCGAATGAATCGTTGAACTTATTATCTAGGATTTAAAATGCTAATGAGATATAGATTTCAGACTTCTCTCCTGCAAGCGCTTGCATCTGTCGTCTAGTCAGGGAACCAAGAAGGGGAGCGTCGTAAGAAATAGCATAGAAAACAAATGGGGTGATACCTGCAGTGATGCGCTTGGTGGAGGAGAAACGCTTGCTATGTTTCCAGTCAAGCATGTGAAAGAATGAGCCCACGCACCCTCCCACTCGTGGAGACTGCGCGCCAGCGTGATGAAAAGTCGATGGAGTCCGCCGGTGAGCTTCTGTGAGCTCGTCCATCACCCTCACGTATCGCAGGGCAACCACACCTTGCCAGTTAAATGCCAGATCAACCGACGGGCTGGGGAGACCAAGCGCCCACCCCAAAACCTCAAAATCTTCGAAGAGTAAAAGACTAGAAACTGAGCTTGTAATGGCTGTTGCTGATCACTCCGTGTTGTCTTCAGGTTCGAAGATTTGTAGAAACTGAGCGTCTCGATAAGAAGTTAGATCGACTTCGAAAGTACAGAGGAAGTTATTGACGAACAAGCTGGCCGAGGGACAATCTGAACAAGCTGATCGAGTAGGAAAGGAGTCAAGATGAGCGTCGGAGTAAAAAAAATCACAACTTTCTGGGAAGGCGGGCAAAATTGCCAATTCAGCCATGATAGGGGCATTTCAGTAGGTGAAGGAACTTTGAGATTCCTGCACTGATACTCCCAAGCCGAAATTGAAAGTAGTAGATGATCTTCGTAGCCAAAGAGGAGAATTCAGCTCAGTTTGCAGCGTCTCTTCTGAAACCTTACGTTCCTGAGACGACAGTTATCCATGGCGACTCAGCAGTAGTCTCAGTGTATCGACAGCATCAGACCGTTTGGGAAAACGAAACGGATGCGCTGGGGAGTAGTAACTGTTCTAGTTGTACAGGAAATTGGAATTATTGTTACTATTTGCGGAAAGAATCTGAATGCTAAATGGTTAGAGAACGTGAAATTGATTTCACGACCAGCGTAGCATTCAATTCCGCCATGAATAAGAAGACACATTGCTTCAATACTACACCGGCTTGCATCAATGCTGCCAGTAACTGTCTCTGCATCTCAAGCAACTTTCACTAGCCTATTACGATGATGATGATCCCATCATTTCATCAAGAGGTGAAGAATGCAAACTAGCTCAGGAAACGGAAGACAATGTAACTTAGGTCAGATGATCCATGAGACGTTTAATTGCCATGCAATAAAGTAAAAGTGGACGAGGACCGGAAGAGACAACTGCCTCTTCACTCGCTACACCACACGCCCACCCTGCCACCAAGAGCCGTGGGCTACAGAAAACGAGCTGGACAACAACAAGCAGACAAGCTTAACTGCGGCTTGATGCGCGGAATTCTGTGTAAATATAAAACTGTGAAAATTAACCTCAGTCTTAAAAAGCTAAACGAATTACAGATATCTAAGCGCTTCAAAGAGAGCTAAGAGAACTCCGAGATTGGGTAGAGCTAACAGCAATTAGAGGAGGGGAAGTGAAAAAAAGATCACAACCAAACTCCCGATCCAATGAACGCTTGTCCGATAACTCAGCCCATGACCACCACAGAGCTGTCCCTTCGCTTCAAAAACAAAGCGATGTCTCCATCACACAGAAAGCATCGAAATCAAAACATCGCTTGGAGGAAAGGCAAGCTCTCAGACGTGATGTGCTACTGCCAGTCTTTGAGCGAGGCTGAAAGTCGTCTCAGAATTCCAACAAAAATGTATGGCAGCAAGCGATGCACCATTACGACCTACTATCAAGCTGGAAATTACACAAGTCGCTCACCCTCCTCACCCCTGATTTTTCACTCGCACAAACAGAACTGATTCATTCTCTCAACTCCACACTGACGCATGTCATGTCAACTGAGCAACACATCACAGAAGTGTGAAATACAACTTTCGACAACGGCCAGGGCCCGCAATTAACACAGGGATAACTCAAGAGTCGGAGGAAATATATTTGCAGCTACACAACATTAAAGGAAACTGACGCTAACTTCTTCATTGCTCTTTGATTTGGGGCTGCGGAGTCTAGAGACTTCTTCAATCTCAAAGGCACTTTGTACAATGGCAGGGGGCGAGGCGCTCAAGTTTGAACAAAGCGGCGTCACAATCACGGGCCGACAGCCGGCGGGGGCCAATAGGAAGGACCCGGCCCGGTTCTAGACTAGGGTCTTCCAATCTGTCGGGAGTCGTGTCCGATAGGGGCAGGGCCAGTCAGTGGATGTTGCTCTCTCCTTCGACGTTCCCCTCCGCCGTTCCCGACCGCCGGCGCACACAGTCAGAGAGGAACGTTGGTTGGGAACGCCGGAGCGAAAACCAAGGCACCGAAGACAAATTTGCATCGTTCAAACAGTAGTTGAGGGGGGGAAATAAACGGGGGGTGGGAGGTGATTCGTGTGGGGTGCGAGCCCTCACACAGTGAAGGGCATGTGAGAATATCTCAAACCCCCCTCTTCCCTCTTCTTCCCACGCCTCTGTGTGAATCGGACCCCTCCCTCCATCCGGTCATCCGGTCACCCTCTAGGTCACCCACATACTACTGCTGTTTTGATCCTGGAGAAGCTGCCCAAGGGGTACAATGACCCCATGTTCTGCAATCCTGCACACATTCTCTATTCACATACTCAGTAAAGGACAGCATTTGAGCGGAATTGAGCTGAGTATATATATATATATATATATATATATATTTTAGGGTTTAGAAAAACAAAGAGAACGTCATTGCTCTCCTGATTTGAACCTCTGAATTTACTGATTCTATTTTATGTCTTGCTTATCATGAAAGCACCCATAATGGTAATGTGTTACAATTTTCAAAATGTGTATATCTATATATACCTAGATTAACACTAACAGTGGTATTCTTGACATCAAATTTTCTGAAATTAATCTGAAAAATACCAATACTAGTTCATAAGATAAAGATAACACTTTTAAGTTCAGAACACATAAAACTATATTCTACATGTTTAAAAAAACTTCTGAAAGTAAATGTATTATTATTTGATCATTATGGTATAATAGTTTTTTGGAAATTTCTTTGAATTAAATAATTGTTTGGTAAAATTTGAAGTATAGATGGATTATGAACAAATTTAGTTATTGCTGAAACCCACAAAATAATCTGTAATAATATAGTATCTCCTAACAATTGTGATGGTAAACTGAAGAAAAAAATAAATATAGTTATTTGTTTGACATCTTTGAAATATATATATATATATATATATATATTTATACACCAGTAATAAAAAGAAGAAGATTAGTATGACTACATTTTGAATATCTTTTGTGCTGCATATTTGCAATTGCATGTGCTCCTTTTATATTATTTTTTTATTTTTCATTGTTTTGAATATTTTATGTATGATGTCACTGGGATGCATTTGTATGATTGTTGATTATTTTGTTGACCTTGTGACTCATTCTTGTGTTGTTTGCTATTGTATATCAATAACTTGTTTTGATCCAGTAACACCCAAAGCAAGGGCCTCCTAATGTTGGTATTTACAAATATAATGGTACAAAATAGTAAAATATGAAAAACAAACATCATCACTAGAGTATCCCCAAAATAAATCTACATATTTGGATATCATGTTAAGTAATGATATAACATATATCTTATTTAAATCAACTACAAAATGATTCACTATTACTATTATCATTATTCATTTTAAAAAGAACATATATATATATATATATATATATATATAATAATTTCCATGTCTTGTAAGGCTAAGATTTCTAGCCACATAAATGATAATCCATTCATGCAAAGAAAACCCCACCCATAAAAACAAAACTCACACACATAAGCGTCATCCATGATCCACCCCAAGTGGGACAATAAACACCCAACTATAGCCACAAATCACTGTGCTGCCAGGAGATTAAAGCTTGCAGTGAATAATAAATCACATATATATATATATATATATATACACCTCTATGTAACAAGAGCGTGCATGGCAACATTTAACCTTCTGCAAAAACATCAAAACCTTTTAAAACAATATGCCACATCAATCCAGACAGACAGACAGACCAACAGACTGACGAACTATTGAATGAACAGAAAGAAAGGATAGACTAACAAATAGCCAAACCAACATACAATTGAACATGACTGACTGCATGGGAGGGAGGATCAGGGGGAACAGATCCCTAATTGGGTTCAAAATGATCAACTTTTTATAGTAGAGCTGAATGGGCTCTTGCTCCCCCCACCCACAAATTGCTTGTGAATTTTTAGGGTTTCAGTAGCAACAATAGAATGGAGCCCAAGGGTAATTCCCACCACCCTTCCTCATTTATTTGTGTTGATTTCTAGAATTTTGGTTAAAGCAAATGTTTTTGTTGGATGTATGAGGACAATTTGATGTGCCCACAAATGTGAATAAGAAGAAGGATTTTGTAGAAAAATGTGAAAAAGAAAAACAGAACTTTCATGGCATGATGGCCATTATGGATAAGACTAGAGAGCACGATGATGAGGAGGATAGTGCAATCAGGGGTGGCCTTATTTCAGTTAAAAGGTGGCCCATGTCAATTCAAAAAGTGTGTGATTGAAGGTGTCATATGCCCTTCTCATTCATTGCTATTTGGTCATGATCTTGCCATATCAACTTCTTTTTCCACATGACAAAATTCACTACTACCCACTAATCACATGTGAAAAAAAACAATGGAAAAAAGCATAAAGAAAAGACAGGAGAAAAAAAAAAGGAAAAGGAATACAGGACTTTGTTGTAACTAGATTGCTTGATGTTATTTCACCTCACTATTTGTGGATGAACAGTTATTGTAATAAATGTGCATATAAAACATAAAAAAACATGACACTGTGACTTATTTGGGAAAAATATAGGAATCTAACTACAAGGGTGTTGAGATAAAAACATAGTTGTATTTGCATCTTGTTTAACAAAAATTTCATTTCCATACAAATGCAAGTTTTATTGCATCACATAGAATTACCAAAAAGCACTCATTTATTGTCAAATTTTTATATAAAGTACTCTAAGAAATATGTACATTATATAACATACTATTCATCTTTTTGGTTGATTTTTTAATTTTTTTAATTTTATAAAAATATATAATACTTGTGTTACATAGCCATAGTAAATTTTTTTTAGTTGGATAAAAAAAAGTTTAACATTTAAATAATTTCATTTCAATTAGCTTTTTAAACTAACTAACTAATAAGCTCATAACCAGTTTTTTAAATTTTACCTTCAAAATGTGCAATATTTTTCCTGATTGTTGTTGTTATCCTTGTTATTGTTTGTGTTGATTAAGTGCTTTTTTTGTATTGTATTCTAGGGAAAATTTCATCATTTCTGAAGGACATCATGAACAATGCAAATAAAATGATTTTTAGTTTCTAATGTATAAAATATATAATTGAGGAAGCAGATAGAATTTCAGTACTTTTACAATCTATATTCCATGAACAGATCATTCGACTTAATTCCAAAACATTAAAAACGATAATTACAAATTACACATAAATAGTAAAATATTTGATCCAAATTCATCTGTAAAATACTTTTTTTAGTCTGAAGTATATTGTTTAATGAAATATTTGAATAGTCCACTGTTCCTTTCTAATTAATAGTAATAGGAAGAATACCAAATTATTGGCTAACAGCTAATTTTCTTGATTTTTCAACAAAATTAAATTCTTTGTTTGATTTTTGTTCCAAAACTTTATACAATAGCCACAAAACACATCATACCTTTGATCTATTCACCAAAGTTGCTATCAATGCTTGTCTGAGACAACCTTTAAGCACACATGTTTTATTTTATTATTGCAACAACTTCAAACCAAGACATGTTCAAAGTGGATAGATGGACGCCCTTATCTTCTATTAATATTTGTGCCATAATAAATAGGATTTTTCAAGTTTCTTATGATTTAAAAATTGTGATGCTTTTGTTGTTATTGTATTCATTATTCTTGCTTAACTATTTGAATTCCTACATCATTTTGTACCACCATATTAGTTTTGTAAGGAATACCAAGAAAAGAATGAAAGAAAGAAAGCCAGACAGGAAGATGAGATTTAGCAGACAATAAAGCTCGTCAAAAACTTTATAAAAACAGCCATCTATTCCAAATCTACATAACACATGCTCAAAGCTGCTCATATATCAAATAAATTATGAATGGAAAAGCATCGATAACATAAACATAAAATATAAATATAAACCCTCAGTGAAATCCTCAATATGTTTGAAGCAGAAACACTAAAAAAATTATAAAATCAATTACAAGTGAGCAATAACAATTTAAGAAATGGATGATGTCATACAAAATTTGAAATTTCTAAATTTGTGGTATATTTATATAGCCAAGACAATATATATCTATATATATATATATATTTGTATTGTACAGCTACAAAGTCAGAAAAATAATTATATTTGGGCATTCTGAACTACTCTTTTTTTATTTCAGAAAAGTCACACCATGTTCAAAGTGAGAAAAAAAAATACTTTCTTAAGATTGGAAAATATAACATACTTTCTTAAGAAAGTAAATACTTATAATTTACAATTTTAGCTTGTAAAGCTACCAGTTTCTAATTTTCTTCTGAACTTTTCTCTTTTTTCTTGCAATTGAAATTTCTTACAAACTGTACAATTCCTCTCTCTAGAATTCGATTCAAAAATCCATTTTTCAGCTTTGTTGTGTATAACGTTTACAGTCAATTATTCATTATTTCAATCATTGCATTAACTTCTTGCATAAAAAAGATTAACACAATCCAACTGGTTTTGAAATAAACAATCAATTCATAAGAATGCATTGAGTACCAGGATCAATTTTGCAGTTACATTAATCATTAATGTTGATAACAATCAATCATTAATTCAAACAAATTCTCTTATACAATTTAACACTTAAAATTTTACAAACTGGCAAACAAATCAGTCAACACCATGTTAAGGCAATTGTTTAAAAAGGCTTAATATGAATCTGTATAAAAGCATGCAATCACAAATATAATCACAAGGAGTTGAACTAATTGCAAAATTATGGTTTGTAGTTTAACATTTTTCAAATAAAATTTCAACACTTTTACATGTCTTTAGTTACATAATGAAAACCTGAAAGCCATATTGTTATGCATATATATATATATATATATATATATTTAAATTCCTATAATAGAAAAAGTTGGTTTGAATGTAATTTTCAATAAAACAATTGTGATATATTAGTAATTCACTCTTGTGGTTTTAGTTATGTATTGTTCTACTTGTTATGTTATTTTGAAATGTGATAAATTGTTTTACATTACAAACTTGTGTTATTGTTAATTTCAATACTGTAATTTTATAATAAATTGAAATAAATTTCTTCATTATCTGCATTTCAAAATTAATACTATGTAAAAAATATCACAATTGTAACTATTATATTGTTAATCAACAATTTATATTTGTGTTTCAACAACCCCGAAATTTGATAAATTAGTCAGATCATATGCATGCTATATACTAAATTGTCTATCATATCTAATATCTTTCTTCATTTAAAAAAATATTGTCTGGATTACTTTTCAAAATAATATACTATTGTTTCATAGTAAACATTGAGTGACTGAATGGAGGGTTGATTTTTAAAGGAAACATAGTCAATCCTAACTGTTTCATAAGTTAGTAGATTTAATAAATTGAATAAATCATGTACAATTTAGATTATATTCCTCACAACCAATTTAAAATTTAAAAGTCTGCTCTCTCTCTCTCTCTCTTTTTGGCTGGCCTGTGGTAAGTCAAATGTAAATAATCTTGTAGAAACTTCTAAACAGTCACAAGCATGGCACATTTAAGACTGAAGCAATAACATATTTTCAGAAAGTGACTATTTATTGCATTCACACACTCTTGTGACTAAATTCAATTTTATGTGAGGAGGCACAGGGACAGTGAAAATCACTGTAATCAAAACAATTCATTTACATACATGAACACATACATACATCCTTTACTGTATGTGTTTCCATGAAAATATTCTTCAGAGTGTCTTTTTTTTCTTGTAAAAGAAGGAAAACTATGCCATCTTCACAGGTATCACATACATTGTCAGAATTTACATCAATGTACGTTGTTGAATTCTCATGTCAGCAGTGCATGATGTATTCAATTTCTATCTATGTTGTTCACAGGTAACAGTAGATTCAAATAATACAATTATAAGACCATGTAGAAGAGACAGTTATGGAGGAACTTCCAAGGACTCATAAATGTCCACAGTGATTCACACAAACAGTAAGAATACCAAGTAAGATAATACAGTCAATAGTGTGCAATGTTTGAGACATCTTTCCTTTATGACTGCTCCCAAATCCTTTGAAGAAGTTGGGGGGAATCCCTGCACAATTATCTAAACATCAGTCATTCATTCAAAACGGTTGATTCATTCATTTATTATCACACATCGGCAATTGTGCATTACTCACTGGTCACAAAATCACCAACCCTCATCTCTTCACAAAACCCAATACATGGCTCTTGTCTCAGACTGACACGTTCAGAATTACTCTTCATTTGTGAGCAGGGATTTCAATCATATATATATAGAGACACACACACACTGACGGGTATACTAGTAAAGAAAGAAAGATCCATCTCTGAAAAGCCATGAACTGAGAAGACCTCAGCCAAAATATTTGGATGTCAGATGGGGCATGGAAGCACTTTTTGGACTGAGATACTACCACCACAAAAAGCACTGAGCATCCATTCCTTTTCAGAGCCTTTTCAATTTTAATTTTTAATTTTTTTTTGTTTGTTTACATATTTTCCTTTCATTGGGTACATATGATTGGTTTCAAGGATCACTCATACTTCTCTTCATTGGATTTGCCAGGCCATGGGAGCCCTGCATGATGAGACAAAATCCATTGAAACCCCCCCTTGTCATCTTTTTTTCTATCTCTGAAGAACAGAAAGCTTGACCTCGTTTACAGCAAAAACAAAGGTCAGGTTGGTGCAGAGTCACAGTCTAGTCCGCAGAGCTCACAAGAGTGACACGCAGATTAATGGCAGACAAGCCTTGTGGTGGGCTAGCAAACCCCTTTGCCTAGCTTCTCAACACTGAATGCTACCACACATGAAGTCTGTGTATAATATGGCCTGTGCAGTAGGGCATGCATGTCCAGTTATGTGGTGGTCTTGGTGGCTGTGCTTCTAATGGTGTGAGCTTCTATCCTTCTTCAGCCAAGCCCTGGCTCTGCATGCTGAAGAGCAGCCAATTCAATGGCAAAGACTTGATTTTTTCAACATGGATTTGCTTGATGAAAACCAGGGTTAGCAAGACTGTTTTCAGGGTTTGTCTTGTGTGATTGTTGTGATTGCTGTGTGCTTGTGTGTTCTGCTGTATGCATTCATGAATCAAATGAAAAATTGTGAGGATTGAACTGGCTAGGGAACGATTAATTGCAGACAAACAGAAGCAAGTGGGCCTCCAGGAAAAAAGCTCCAATGGGGGGAAAAAAACTCTAATGGGACACTTTGGTTGTCAATCTCTGAAGACTGTAGATGTGCATGAGACTCTGATTCCATGGTTTTGGTTGGAATCCACTATCCAACAAAAAATGTTATTGGTGTTGTGATTTGTTGGAGGACAAAAGAAAGTGATAGAAAATGAAAGGAAGAAAAAGGAGAAAGAATAAGATGGAAGGAAAAGAGAGGTGGTCATTAGAGTATTCTCTTGTGATTCTTGTTGTTAGTGATGACTTGCTTTCTTCATTTTTGTCATTCAAAAAGGAAACAATAAAACTCTAAGGTGGGTGTTTTTTTTAGACATGCGTTTATATATACATAAATACATATCTTTGGATCTCGATTTTCCTTTTATTTTTGGTATCTTTCTCAAGCTGACCCAAAGAACTCAAACAATATCCACTACAGTGGTTTTGAGAATTTGGATTATCAATGGATTATATCAGCACCTATGGGCTCACACTTTACTTGGTACACCATAAAGCTTTTTATTTGCCAAGCTAAGTCTCATGGTTTTCACAATAATTGAACAGCAATTGTGCAATACATGTCCCTATCCCTCATAAAGGTTGTTTTAGTTCTCATTTTAAATTAAGTGAGGTTTCAAATTTACGTTCTTCTGAAGTGGTTCAGATGTCAACAAGTGTCTGATTAATAAAACATGTCTGTTTAATAATAGTTCTGACCTGAACAGGATTGTTCCCTGCCATTATGTTATTTTATTTTAGCTGATATTGATTGTTGCTTAATTATTTGATTCAATGGTACTGAGATCACTATTATTACCATGAATCAAGGAATCAATTAGCTGCAGGTATTGTTGATACTAAAATACACAGAATGATTTTGTTTATAATTCCAATACCACATGTCTGACCAATTGCACTGGATTGTAATAATTTGTGTATTATACGATTTGCATTAGTTCAACACCTCGTATGATATATTCTGATCAAGAGGGCATTCAACAGAATTCAACATCTCTTTCAATTATGGAAAAATCCTCATATTGAGATCATAGATATTCAGACATACATGAAGATAGAGAACATTGCCACTGTGACATTTCATTTCATTTTTATTCATTTTCTGCTTGTAAATGAGAGATGTTGATTTTACAATACTAACAATGGAACCTGGTCTAATTAACAAACCAGAAGCTAGTTGTGTGAAACTAATATACAGTAAAATTTTACAATGGAGTACAGTATGATGTAAGGAAGTTGAAAAGAGTATTACGCTACTTACAGAATGATCAAATTATTCAAATGTCCTAGACACCAAGGACATGCTATCAAAATCTTACAAGGAGGACATGGATGCTTTTTGTTTTATTAGAATGTTCTACTTAATTTGAATTATTTCCCCCAGTTTATCCTTTTCTGCCATATCTACGCATACAATATACGGAAAAGTTACAAACTTAATTATGTACTGTTGTAAAAGTACATAATCACACTTTGTACCCAGTTTACACTTATTTGTAATAGTAGAAGTAGTAGTAGTAGTACTACAACCCCCCCTTTACATCAAGTAGGCTGCTGTCCATCATTCTATCTTTGGCTTTGGCTGCCCCACACCACACTTTAGTCATGCAGAGGGACTCTCATGCAGCTCATAAATGGAACATTCTTTTGTGCTCACAATATTTCTTACTACAGTAGTTTTCAATTTTTGCATCCATTAGCAAAACATTTGTGCTGTTGGGCACTAAAACAGGTCCTGCTTATAAAGAATTAGTATTTGAATTTGATTTGATTTGATTTTTTTTTTTTTTCGATGAAATTAATATCAATAACAGGGTGTGTTTATCACTATGGAGTTTGTGATTCCTCATTTAATAACATGCTCCTCTGGGTAGCTTTATTTATATACTGTTGACTCATAGAAGAACGTGGCAATTGCAGCACCCCTATCAATAGAAGCCAGATAGAAAAAATAGAAAAAATAGAAAATAAAACATAGATTCCATTTAATACACACTCAATGGATTTATTTTTATATTAGTTTTTTTTTTTTTTAATACCAATTGGGCATGAATGCTGGATAGTAATGCAGTTAAGAATCGCAAGACCACGGATATGGAAGTTTGAATCCTGATTCATGAAACTCAATATCTGTTTCATTCGAATCCCACAGCATCACGTTATTTTCCAACATGAGAATTATCACTTGGTTTGCCACATTCCGTCACGCTGCTCCGAATCATACAATATTCGGATTTCAGGAACTGGGTTCTCTCGAATCAACGCTGAAACCTGCGTATACCCGGCGTTTATTAATGCGGTAACATGCTACGCAAACTTTTTATTGTGTGAGATATGGTTTCGCCCAGATTGGCTGTCTTTGGAGTGATAACTGTTTTGAAACGGATGCCGGAGAGTCGCTGGTGTCCCTTGTGGGTCATGGTGGTCGAAGGAGCTGCAGAAATCTCAAAGCAGTTCGAGCTACCGCTGTGAGTCGGAGCTAGAGAAGGGCAAGTCTGTTGTGTGCGATTGGCGACGCCCTAAACTCGTTCGATGTCTACATGTCAAGGTTGAAGCGCGTATGGATGGCCCAAGGTGATCAGAATGTTTCACGTCTGTAGCTTGATATGTCACAAGGCATTTGAAATGTTGTGCTTGGTTGTTCAGATGTAAGTGGTGCTTTATGTGTTATCAATGAATGGGGTTTATGTGTTGAACCAAATCCATCTCGGTTCTGTGGCAAGTTGCGAGTATCAAGGGCGAGTGCTGCAATGCCCTCCACCGGTTTTCCCCCGGAATCTTGCGAGACCACAGCAACATCTCTGAACGCCGGATCACTATTCTGTTGATGATGAATTGTCAGGGAAGCGTTTCATCAAATTTCGGGAGTTCCTCTTGTCACTTCTCTTCGAAATCTGCACGGTGTTATTCATTACTCCAGGCTTGGGAACACCCTAGGAAATCCTACATGCAGACTGAGCACTGAGATTGTCTTCTGAGTGAGATCTGGCACATCGGAGGTATGTCAGTTGGTGGGGACTCTTTGATATTTTATGAACAGTGCTTAGATTATACTCGAGGGCCTCAATCGATCACTTTTTGATTATACTTGTCCTTGGAGGACTGTAGTACTGCAGTCTTTTTCTTAGTGATGATTGGGTTACAATGATCATCTGTGACATTGAATTCTGAAATTGTTTCAGATTGAGGCGGATCGGTTAATGGTCCGACGTAAGAATGGATGAAGCGGAAATCCGCAAACATGGAACTTAGAGACTTAGTGCTTCGTTCTTGTTGTTATCCACTGGGAATTCATGGCGTATGTTAGACTAGATCTGACGACCCATCATGCTATGTAGTAAGAGATTGTTTCGATTTCTGTTGTCCTGGGTTACTTCTGAATCAACATACAAAACAGCAAGAGGAGGCCTGATTTTCCAAGTGAACGTAACCATTCGACCTCCGTTGCTTCTTGACCTATTTCTTTAGTCAGCCTTTAGTATGTCATTTTGTTCAGCTTCCTCTCTCTATTATCTTACATTACAAGTTGCATCAATAGTCGTAAGCCTCAATTAGATTTTCCGAGACAGGGGCTGGAGCTGGCTGAAAATTAGTGCACCTAAATTAGCTGGTTCGTAACCCTCGAAAATGTTTAAGCCGTTGGATGTGCATGATGCCTTCTATGAAATAAAAGCCGTCCTTGTCTCCAGTCATTTCAGAGATTGTCTTGCAAGGACCTTCAAGTGGACATTAGAATTTCTTTCGGTTTCCATGGAGCCTACTGTTGGATGCGCCTACACTGCAGCCAGTGGGTTTCTACATCGACCACAGTAATGCGTCACTTATGGAACCTTCAAGAATTGTGTCCTCTCTAGTCTCTGTGATGTTGGATTTTCCCGTTCTGTAGTGAATTAAAATCATTTCATGTCACGTGCCTGACAATCGCCTCTTTCATGAGTAACAAGCTGTTAAACATCTTGTGTGTTTTTAGGTTATCCGACGTTGAAGAAGTCCAAACAATACAACTATTTTTGTGACTAGTGTACAATCATCTTAGACAAGATTTGTCTCGTTTTTTAATCGATGCTTCCTTCGTTGGCATCAGCTTGACGAGTCGGAGAAATTGTGTGTGTGCAGGGAGAGTTAAAGGATTTCGTTACATTTAGTGGAGTATCATTTGCTGAGGTGACACATCATCTCCTCGGCTCTGCCCTTGTTTCAATCATTTGCTTTCTTCTGTGAAGTCCGTTAACAAGTTGTGAACTTCTTATAACTACTTATTGTATTTTAATTCCCAACTTTAAACATGCAAATGCACGGGTCCTTTTATTAGCCTCAACTGTTTGAACGCGAGGTATCAAATTTTCATTGCTTGGTCTGATGAAAAGATATTGAAAGTGAGATTGTCTACGAATAGGTGCTTGACATCAATCGAGAAAAGGTGGTTTTGACTTTCAGGTGAGCGGGTCTCTGCTCTTGAAACTAATGAATTGAAAACCTTGATTGGATAACTATCCTAAGTTATTTGCGAATACATTTCAAAGATTGGAAAGTCAAGACATTATGTAGGCTTTTAGTAATCTTTACTTGACTTGATCTTTTTTCTGGATCTTCGCGCACGATTAGTCATGCTTCCCTGAGTGAAATGTGAATAAACAAGATTATCAGATTCAGTGAGTTTTGATGGTGGCTTCTTGTTCAGGTTGATGCTTGAACCAGAGGCTCACAGGTTGTATCCTCAGGAATTGGTCATATATAAAGTATCCGGTGTGGAGTCACGACATTGAGATATTAAGTCAAATAGAATTTGGCAAATACTCGTACTCGCTCCTCAGATTATCAATTAACATAGAATGCTTAAATTCGCCCCTGAACTCAAATGAGGGAAATCTTGAAAGAACTCTTCACCTAGCAAACTAGCATTCAACACAGCGGTATTTGACTCAAGAATTCATGGTGAGCATTAATTATCAGTCATTTAATGATCCAGGATTGCCCAATTAGGTTTATGATTATGAACGTGAGTTAGCGACTGATTATCAACAGACGCCGAGCTCCGATCATAATAATAAATTCATAAATATTCAGTCAAAAATAATCTGCATCTATCTTTCAAGCCGTGCAAGTTGCAAGTAGAAATGTTTTGATAGGACATTCTTGAATTTATCCAAAACCACCAGTAGTCCACCTTCAACTCTAGGTGCAATATGACAGGATAAACTCCTTACTTCACGTTGTACACACGCATACAGTAAATATGAGCCAGTTGTCTCAGCTTTATTTGTTGTGCCAACAGAGCGTGAAAGTCCTTTTGAAACAGATTGCTAAATGTGATGTAAAAAGTGATTAGCTGTTAGCATCCCCATCAAGCTATAGACAAAGTAGCTATTGATATGAAGACATAAAAATGAGTTTAGAAATCATTGTGTCACATGTCCTAGACTGGTGACATGTACAGTAGGGTTGTACGCCCGAGAGAAGTTTGATCAACACCACAAAACATAAGTTACATAATACGGTGGTGTGAACAATTGGTTATGCTGATTCTTAAACTGCTACGTGTATATCTAGACTTTTCCGCAATCTAAACTTTCAAACTTATAAACTTTCAAACAGAACTAACTCAGCAATCTTCTTACTGTTGGTTAAAGCATCGGATTTTACTGCAACCTTGTGAATCGAGGGGGACGAAAGCTTTAACTATTAAAACTTTTCCACAACTTCCACATTGAATATGTAAAATGACAAACCTTTATGATCAAGACGACACCATTACCCAGAGGATTTATAGACTTAAGTTGAAGCCTCCATTGTACAAGTTCTAGTTTATTAGATTTGTATGTGATCAAGAGCACGCCAATCGAAAAAATACTCTACGCATTCATGAATTTTACAAGGGGTGGCTGGTATCTGGCTAGTGGCAGGCGTCGGAGGACAACGGCTGGGCAAGGGAGGAAAGTTTTGATCGGGACTGTCGATTTCTCCAACATTCATCGCATCGTCGAGCAAACAATTGACAGAAAGAGTGAGCAATTTCTAGTGTGGCGGCTGGTGATGAAAAAATTCGAGTAGTCAGAGGCAGATCGCAATCTGCGGCTGCAAGCCTTCATGTTCAGTTTCGATGCACACAATACATTTATTCATTTACATGTGCGAACGTGGAAGTTTCTCTCGTGGAATCTTGCAGGGCAGCGATTATGCCAAAACAGACTTGTCGACAGGGTGGGGCTTCTACTGGGATTGCAACCGCAAAAGATGTTCCGTAGGACAGATGGCTCGAACAGCAGAATTTCTTAAATATATTACTCGTTGATCTTGTCCCTAATCTCATTTTGCTCCAGAAATAGCCATGTCTCGGAGATGTCGACCGAGTGTGGGGCGACCATATGCAGGATTTTTGACGCTGGTTGACTCCTGCAGGCTTCTGACTACTGACTACTCGAATCCCTCCCCATCCCCGAATAGCTCAATCGCAGACAACCACCGATGCCACCGACCAGACAATTTTTTTTCTCCCTCGAGCAAGAATTTGTCAAATAGATCAGTCGTGGAGTTTTGGAAATGAAGGTTTGAATGACCTCTGTGAATGAAAGAGCAATTTGAAGTAGTTGCGGAGCAAGAGGGGAAGCTGTAGCTGATGCCGTAGTCGCAAGAGGTGGGTTGAATCGTTCAAGTGCTCGAAGTCCCATTTCACGGAAGGGTTGTGTGGCAAATGTCATGCCCCTGCTCACTGCATGCGTCGCCAAAGTCTACTCCCCCTGCATGTCCTCTCTATAAGACCACAGCATCATCGCCTTACTGAAGCCAGTGTATTGAGTCCTCTTGTCCAGTTTTTGTGCACGGCAGCAGGAGTATCTCGCGACGATGCTCGTGCCCGGGACTGGATGAAGTTAGCGTCCACACTGGTAAGAAGAAGCACTTGCAGAAGCAGCTTTCTGGCTGTGAGCTTGCTTCTTGGACCGTGTCTGTTTGGCGTGTGACGTTGAGATGGTCTGTGTCGGTAATGAATCATGTGTACGTCGCTCTCGTGAGCGATACGACGTGTTGTACATTTTTGAAAGTGATGCGTTATGAGGTATTAAGAAAAGGTTATGAATGGGAAAGAATTTTGTGAGGGCTGTGAGTATGGTGTGCTGGCGGTAGAGGTTGAGTGTGCCTGTAGTGTTGACTTGGGTGAAGCGAGAGAGAGAGATAGCGAGAGCGAGAGCGTGATGGAGAAGTTCTTCTGTTTGGAAATTGTGGAGGGATCGTTTGCTTCCTGGTCCTGTGTCTTCGAAAGATTGGTGGATTGTTATCATGGAATAATGACAAGACGATATTCAGGTCTATCTAGTGATGCATTTACGTCACTTAACGTTCAGTGTTCACTGTGTAGTCACAGCTGAATGAAGCGTTTGCTCATGTTCATACTACTTTGCCGGTCCGAAGGATTCTCTCTTAGGAGGCGGTTTCTTCAGTTTCACCTCAACTGCGTCGAGGGCCATCTTCCACGGGGGTTCAGTGGTAGTTAGCTTCAAACCTGCGCAATATTTTTCTGTGAGAAACAATTAGAGGTGTGGTTATGCAGCAGGGTTTTGGGAATTCCTCAAACAGCGCATGGAATTATGGTCATCTCAGTCACGATTTGGAAGCTAGCTTTGGACGGTTGCAGGATAGTCGCCCCTTGATGAATACCCATTGAATGATTGTGTTGAGAACCGATTTCATCATGTGGTGCGTTTGTCAATCGAAAACTATCGACGACGATGACGGTCTAATATACAGAAATAAGGTTTACGTCAAAGATTTTTCTACGCAATCTTTTGGCTCGACGGAACCTGGCTCTTTGCATGGCAGCGTCCGACGATACTCTCTCTCCAGCCAGGATCCGCCGCCGAAACTTCTTGGCGCGGAGACGTTCACTATGGCTGAACTATATCGCGTCACGGAAAATTTTTCCCCGCAAAACAAAATAGGGCAAGGAGGGTTTGGGATGGTTTACAAAGGAAGACTCCGAGATGGTAGAATGGTGGCAATCAAACGAGGGAAGAAGGATGCCTATGAGGCAAGATTGTCTGTGGAATTCCGCACTGAAGTCGAGATGTTGTCCCAGGTTTGTATCCCTAGCACTTGCTCTAACCCCCCCCCCCCCCCCCC